CTATGGGATCCAGGCATTGAACTCAGGTCGCAGGCTTACACAGTGAACATTTTTACCTGATGAACTATCTTGGTAGCCCATCTTCTTTTTAAAAATCTTTTTTAAACCTGGTGTGGTGGCACATGCCTTAATCCCAGCATTGGGGAGGCAGAGGCAGGCAGATCTCTGTGAGTTAGTTCAAGGCTAGCCTGGCCTATATAGTGAGTTCCAGGCCAGCTGGGGCTACAGGGAGACCCTGTTTCAAAAAGACCCCCCCCCCAAGTCTTTTAAACAGTCTCTCTTTAGTTCATACTGATCTTGAACCTGTCTTCCTCCCTCACTCCCCCAAGTGCTGGGAATACAGCCAAGAGCCACCAGACCCAGCTTCTTCCTTATAAGCTCATTATCTTGATACTTTGTCAAAGTAATAGAAAGCTGACCAACACAGGGTACTTGTCCATCTCCCTGGGTGCTTTGGGCACTGAGCAGACCAGGACTAGGTGGAGATGTCTGCACCTCACATAGAACTGGGAGAATACCTTACAGAGGCTGAGGTTACCACTGCTCTAGCCCTTCCTGCCTGCAGCCCTCCAGCTCTCAACCTGGTCAGTGGTGGTTGGTTTAGTCTTGTCTTTGTGGCAAATTGTATTTTAAGTATTTTGCTCATCCCTGGGGGCAAGCTGCAGGTGGGTCCTATGGTTCTCCAGTTGGGCCTGGCCTCCCAGGTAAAGAAGCTCAGCCTGGGGTACCCTACCCCAATAAGGCCATTACTGCTTAATCACTCCTCAGAAATACATGCTAGCTCCCATCTCCCTCTCCTGGGCTATAGCTGATGCTGTGATGAGTGGTGGTCAGGGTGAAGCCTGGAAGCAGCCACACTTTCAAGCCCTGTCACCCTGACCCCAGCTAGAGCTGAGCTGCTGTTTCTGCCACAGTGGCTCCCAGAAAGCTCCCTCTGGGCAGCACCCACACAGTTCACCCTGTTTGCCCTGTTCTAAGGGGAGAAATCAGCCCAGGCTCAGCTGACATCACACATCCTCTTTTCCTCAGCAGGGAGGCTGCCCACACCTGCCCGGTTGCCGATGACTGTCTGTGTGCCCACAGGGAGTAACCGTCGTCAGCCTGTGCAGAGCCCAACAAGGCAGACATCAGCGCCAAGTGCAGCAGGACCCCCAGGCTGTACTAGGGCCTCAGCTTCTGCATAACTTCAGCATTCCAAACCCTTGGCATCTGTGGGAACAGCCTGCTTGGTTCTGTTTCTCTGGAGCCATGGAAGGCTGGAGGCATTCTCAGTGAGGCCCGCTTCCTTCTATATGGTGCAAAGCAGGTTACTTTCTGCGTCAGTTTGCACTGGTCTTAGACATTATTTTTCTTGTAGAGTAATTTCACAATTACAGAAAAGTTGGAGGAATGGTCTAGAGAGAATTCCTTCCTGCCTCCCCTGGGTGCCTCACTGTATTAGTTACTTTTCTGTTGCTGTGATAGAAACACCATGACCAAGGGAATTTTACAATCCCAAAGGGGTAAGAGTCCATCATGGCGGGGAGGCATGGTGGCTGCAGGAGGAGCAGAAGCTAAGCGCTCACATCTTCAAGCAGGCACAGGAAGCAGAGTGTGACTAGAGATCTGGCAAGGCTTAAGAACTCTATAAACCTTGCCCCAGTGACGTGCTTCCTCCAGCATGGCCACACCTTCTAAGACCTCCAAAAACAGCGCCACCAAGTGGGGACAAAATGCTCGAATACTGGAGCCTATGGGGGCGTTCTCACTAAAACCACCACACTCACCATTGGCCCTACCCCTCTTTGGTGCTCTCTTTCCTAGGCCAGACCTGTCTCTTCCACAAGCTTCTCTACACCGTAGATACCCCCAAATCCCACCCCAACTGAACAACCCTACATCTGGGCCCTGTTGTCACCTTATGGTCTGACATTGTGCTCAGCCATGTGACACCTGCCCAGGTGTGTTATGGTACTAGGGCACACTGGAGTGCAGTGCGGCAAATTGGGTGGTCCATCTGCTTCTGGTGGAGATTGAGCATTTGGGGCAGAGGGCAGGAAGGCAGGTCAGCTCCAGGCTGGAAGTGGGTGCCATCAGTGGCCACCATGCTCCAAGGCTGTGTCTGTCCCCAGATGAAGGCTGAAGTGGTTCAGCAGATCCCGCTTCTCTGTGGGTCCTGTTTGTGACTTGTCTGCCCTTAGATACTGTAGGCTCCCTGCTGTGCTAGCAGGAAATTGGATGCTTGAAGCCCGGAGACTGTGTCTCCTGTACGTGTGTTCTGAAGAACCTATCTGTGGCTAAAACCTTGTCATCTCTGGGAAAATCAGTCAAGGCTACAAGGACTTGGACCGTGTTTGTCTCAGGAGCAGATTAGGGCAGAAATGAGCCTCCAGTGAGTGCATTTCCGAGTCCTGGTGTCTCCATCCAGCCAGGTTTCCTGCCCCAAATGCTAAGCTGAACATAGGTCTTGAAATAGTGGCCTTTCTTCTCCGAAGGTTGTAAGAATTCCAAAGAGACAGCAACAGTTTCCAGGTTTATTTCATAAACTTATACGTCCTTCTAAGAGTCTATGGCACGCAGTTGCCTGAGGACATGGGGGCTCTGGAGGCCCAGTAATCAGCACGGGGTCCTTGTCTCTCCTTCATACCTCAGTTCCACTTGTAGCCCAACCTGTGCTCAGGTCCTCCTTCCCTAGAGGTAGGAAGTGCTGCACTGGCTAGGGGCCATGTCCGTAGCTGGTCTTAACACTGAGCTATGACCGTCTTCAGAGAAGAGGAGGGCCAGCCCGTCCTGTGCATGTGCAGTTAGTGGTTTCTGCTCATACAGCTTGATTGTCCATATTGGTCATCAGTCAACTTCGGGTTAATTGGGACAGGTCTATCTGATGTCACTACGGAGCATGTAGTGGTCAGGTCTCTGTGAGCCTTTGTTTTCACAGTTGAAAAATGGGGCCATTAAAGCAGGTGTGGTGATGCACACCTTTAATCCCAGTACTCAGAAGGCAGAGACAGGCAAATCTTTGTGAGTTCGAGGTCAACATAATCTAAACAGTGAGTTCCAGGCCAGTCAGGGCTACATAGTGAGGCACTATCAAAGGGGGTGGGGAGCCTTTAATCCCAGCACTCGGAGGCAGAGGCAGGCGGGTCTCTGTGAGTTCAAGGCCAGCCTGGTCTACAGAGTGAGTTCCAGGACAGCTGGGGCTACAGGGAGACCCTGTCTCAAAAAGATGCAAAAAGGGGGTTGGGGGGGAATGTCATCTAGTTCCTGGTGGAGGTGGGGCCCGTGTTCCTAAATGTCTCCAGGTAGTGAGCACACGTGGCTACAGAGAAGCGCTCTGCCTTCAGTGGTGACTGGCAGGGACCTGTCGGCCCTTAGGTAGGCAAGGCCTGGGCCTGGCCACTTGCTTTGCATCATTCTGAGAAGATAGACTTGACTGGCAGCACAGCCACCCAGTGGTTACACACTTACTATCTCAGTGGTTCTGGAGACTGAGAGTGTGAGGCCCAGGCGTGTTCTCCAGAGGGCTGGGTCCTCAGGCTCTCCTTGGTTTGCAGATGGCGTCTTCTCTCTGTGTCCTCACGTGGTCTTTCCTCTGTGTAGCTGCCTTCTGGTCCTCTTAAAGACACCACCAGTCAGTAAGAACAGGGCCATTCTGATGACTCATTTGACCTTAATCCCCCTATAAAGGGGGACTCGTTTTCCATAAAGCACCTTTGTATATAGGCCTGTGTCTTAGTTTTCTTTCAGGTTGCTATGATGAAACACTCTGACAAAAGCGACTTAGGGAGAGGGTTTGTTTGGCTCACAGTTCCAGGTCACACCTGTCATTTTGGAGACATCAAGGAGGCAGGAACTTAAAGCAGCTGGTCACTTTATGTCCACAGTCAAGTGCGGACAGCAGTGAATCAATGCATGCGTGCTGGTACTCAGCTCACCCTCTCCTCTTCATTTAGTTCAGGGCTCAGACCACATTCAAGATAGATCTTCCCACCTCAGTTAACCCAATTAAGAGCATTCTTCACAGGCCAGCATAATCTAGACCTTCTCCCCGAGACTCCCTTCCCAGGTGACACATTGTGTCAAGTCAGCTATCCATCACACCCTGTCTCCAAACAGTCACATTCTGGTTTTTATTTTTTATTTTTTATTTTTAAAAAAAACATTTTTAGACAGGGTCTCACTTTGTAGCAAGACTGGCCTGGAACTCACTATGTAGCCCAGGCTGGACTTATGGCAGTCTTCCTATCTCAGTTTCCTGACTCAGTTCATAGACATGAACCTCCATACCTGGCTGTCTATAGTTTTTTTTGTGGGTTTTTTTTTTTTTTTTTTTTTTTGAGACAAGATCTCCCTGCAGCCCCAGCTGGCCTGGAACTCGCTATGTAGACCAGGCTGGCCTTGAACTCACAGAGATCCACCTGCCTCTGCTTCCCAAGTGCTGGGACTAAAGACATGCACCACCACACCTGGTGGTTAACATTCTAAGGATCCAAGGATTAGCACCATAGCACAGTTCAGTCCTCAGAGTAGAGACATACAGATACACCATGGTGGGGGAGATGAGACAGGAACATGAGGGAGAGAGGACAGAACCAGTCAGATGAAACCACCACCAGGCAGGACAGAGTGGGGACCAAAGACGGGAGGCTGGTGGCTTGTGTTCCAATGACAGTAGGTGTCCTGGGGACAGGAAGGAAGAGGCATTGGCATACCTTATTAATGCTTTGTGTCCTGATGCTGGCAGGCAGGGTGGAGACACAGCTTGTCCAGGTCCTGGTATTGGTAGGAGAGGACTGAATATATCTCCAAGCTGAGCTGGAGAGCCTTATGGTGTTGTACTAACGTGGGCTTGTGTTTCTAGTACTACGTGGAGCTTTGAGACTGAGAGCATAGGGCTGACCATCTAGGCATGGTCACATCCTGCCCCATCCCTGGCCTCAGGCTCCACAGGTGTGGAGGGACCCTGGGCTGAACAGACACCCTGTCTAAAAACCCACTGCTCACTCATGTGTTCTTCTCAGGTGCAGAGCCAAAGACCATTTTGCCTAAGAAGGAGAAATTGAGACTTAGACGTGAGCGATGGCTGCAGAGTAAGTTCTTGTTCTTATCTCCTGAGGTAGCCAAGTCAGCCTCATTCTCATTCAGACTCCCCTCCCCCCACCTCATGCCACATGTCTGGACTTCACTGCAAAGGCTGGTCCTGTTATGGCCTCACAGGCACCTTAGTGGGTGCTGGAGCAGGTCACCAGGAGGGAAGCATTAGAGGCAGCACTCAATGGCAAATTCACCTGACCACAGGGTGGGAGTCTGTCCCCAGAGTGGGCAGCACAGACTGATGGGAGCCTCCTGCCCACCCTCTTCCTCCTCCCTTAGCAAACCATCTCAGAAGCTGCTGTTCTCTGCCCCTTTTGGTAAAACGGTCTATTTTGGGCTCCCGCGATGAAATTTTTTAATTACTGAGGCAGCTGTGCTTGTGTGAGCCGGGCCTGACTGACTGCAGGGGCCCGACTGCAGCAGCACATCCCCTTTCAGGCCTGTGGTGCTTTTTCCAGGTCTGTCTTAGTCTTTTGTTGTTTGTTTGTGAGACAAGTCTCTTATGGCCTGGGCTAGCTTTGAATTCTCTGGGGAGCACATCGTGACTTTGAACTCCGGATCCTTCTGCCTCTGTCTCTCAGCTGCTGGGATTGCAGGAGTACACCGCCACGCTGGTATGTCAGGTTGAATTGTGTCATGGTTTTCCAGTCACATGTCTCCCAGCAGACTGAGTGGCTCACCCCTCACTCCTGTGTTTTGTAAGTCATTCTCTAATGCTGATTATGTGCTGATCTTTTCCTAAACGTTTGTGTTTACATGAAAATTTCAAGGATTGTTTTATAATTTTTTTCTTAGCTGTTACTTTTTTTTTTTTTTTTTTTTTTTTTTTTTTTAGACAGCCTGTAGCCCCAGCTGTCCTGGAACTCACTATGTAGACCAGGCTGGCCTCAAACTCACAGAGATACCTGCCTCTGCCTCCCAAGTGCTGGGATCAAAGGCGTGTACCACCACACCAAGCTTACTTTTTATCTTTTTAGTGTGATTCTGCCAACTTTGGGAATTTGGAACATTTTTGTCTTTATGTTTTCATGTGTTCAAATATAGTTTGCCTTATTTTTTTTTTTCCTTGAAGATTTTCAAGAAAAGTCCCTTGTGGTTGAACTGTTTGAGTTAATTTTTGCCGCTTACTTTATGGTTTCCCATAAAGTACTCTAATCAGATCTCAACCTTTACTAGCAAGGGAGTCTATGTTGTGCTTGTGTGTGCTCTCTCTCTCTCTCTCTCTCTCTCTCTCTCTCTCTCTGGTACAGGGGTTGAACCTAGGGTCTTGTGCATGTTAGACACGTCCTCTACCTCTGAGCTGCATCCCCAGCTTCCTCATTTTTATCTTTGCTGTTCTTTTTATTTTATGTGTATGGTGCATCACCTGCATATGTGTCAGTGCACCCGTGTTGAGCATCAGATTCCCTGGAACTGGAGTTAGGACGGTTGTAGCCTCCATGTGGGTGCTGGGAATTGAACCCAGGTCCTCTGCAAGAGCAGCAGTGCTCTTAACCACTGGGCCATCTCTCCAGCCCCTCTTTGATATTCTTATTTGTATCCTGCCATTTCTGATTAGATTAGTTTTGTCTCTTCTAGTTTAAGAACTGTTGACACTGATTATCAGCTCTAGTCTTTTCTTCTATTAGTTTCTTCTCTCTGTCCTGGTTTTCTGTTTGCTTGAGCTATGTAGCTCACCTGTGTTCATGTTGGTCTCTGAGTACAACAGTTATCTGTGTCGACATTTTACTTTATCACAAGCCATTCATTGGTCCGCTCCTGTCTGTCCGTCCCTCAGCACTTTTTTATGCATTCCAAAGCAAGTTGCAGGCTGTCAGTGTATTTCTCCACAAACAGTTTGGCTAGGGTTCAGCTCGCCTGTGGTCTTCTGTTTTCTTTTGAAGAGTGTGTTTATCTAGCATCAGTAGTGACAGATGCACATGCCCATTCTGCCCAAATCCCTGTTGAGGGACTGGTCTTCCTGCCACCTGGAGCTTCTGTCAGTCAGTGCCACATCGACCCACACTGGGTACCATGTCGGACGTGTCTGTGGTTGGATGTGCAGCTGTGTTTTGGGAGTGCATTCATGTAACCGTGCTCTACCTTCCTGGCTGAGAAGCATTGCACGGCACACACTCACCACTGCTGCCCAACCTCCTCCCGTGGGCACCTGCCTTTTCCATTTTGTCTGTGGGGAATGTATGAGCATTTGTTTCAAGTCTTTTTGTGGACATGTTTTCCTTCCTCTTCTGTAAATACTTAGGAATGGAACGTTGGGTCATAGGGTAGGTATATGTTTAGTTTTATGAGCAACTGCCAGACATTTTTCTGAAGCAGTTGTATATGTGTTCCCACCAGCAGTGTGTGAGTTGTGGCCATCTCACAGCCTCACTGGTTTGTGGTGTTGTGTGTCTCTCCAGTCATGTATCTGGTGATGTGAGCTGGCATCTCGTGGATTGCTGGTCTCTGCTGTGGAAGACTGCTGTCAGGAGCGCACAGCCTATTTGTACTTAATCTCCAGTGAGGGTCTCTTTGCTTTTTTACTGAGCTCTGTCTTAGGTTGCTGTGGGTGTTCTTGATTCTTGGCATTGCAATTTAATTTCACCATTAATTTGTCATTTTCCCTAAAAACAACAAAAGCTTAGAAAGCTTATGATTGGGGTTCACCTTTGAGTGGTACAGATTTTCTTTAATTCCCATCATCAGTGCAATAGAGGGATTCTTCTCTCTCTCTCTCTCTCTCTCTCTCTCTCTCTCTCTCTCTCTCTCTCTCTCTGACAGACTTACCCACTTCTAGTATAAAAAAGTACAAGTGACTTTACTGACACCTTCCTTGCCTCGTGTCCTTTGGCCTTGCTAAGGCATCGTTGGTCTGGTAGCTCCTTTGCAGACTCTCCAGGACCTTCCGCAGTACACTTCTTCTGTGGATCTGGAGCTTCCCTCCTTGGTGTGCACCGCTGTCCTGTGTCAGCATTGGTGCCACCCGCCATGCCTTGGCCACATCCTCACTCCTGGCACTGTGAGGACAGCTTCCCGAGCTTCTCTCTGGCCCTTTGTCACCCTGAGTGCCCTCCTGCTCCAGGCCTTCCTATCACTCTGTCCTTTTTGCTCTACTTTGCCTGTTGACCTGCCTTCCAAGAGCCAGATGCATTGGGTCGTGGTCTTATTCCCTAGAAGATTATGTCCTGAGCACCATGGCTCTTGAAAGCTCGCACTGACTCATCTTTTTCTTGCAGAACTGCTGGTTCACATCACCAGCTCCTGAATCCCCTGACACGCACTGTTATTAACCCTCAAGCATGCCCATCCGATCAGTGGCAGCTCAGAAGTCGTGATTTTCTCCTTCCGGTGACGCCGCGTCTCTCCGTTGTGCTTTGGCTCTTCTGTGGCTTAATGCTGAACTCATGCAGTTTGTCTCAGGAGGGAGTGAGGGGCGGCCACCTCTGTCCTTGTCTAGTGCTTCCCGCTGGGGTCCTTTCTGCTCCTCTGAGCCAGCGGACCCGCTCTGACTGCTTGTTCTGCTTAAAAAGGTTTTGTTCACAATGAGGTGTTTCTTTGTTGTTGCTCCTATTTGTTTTGTTTTGAGATGAGGTCTCTTTGTAACCCAGACTGGCCTAGAACTCACTATGAGGATGACCTTGATCTTCTGACCCTCCTGCCTCTTACCTAGTTTGAGGGTTTTTTGTTTTTGTTTTTGATAATTGAAAAAAAAATTATTTTATGTGTATGAGTGTATTGCTTGCATGTATGTAGGTGCACTCTTGTCATGCAGTACCTGCGGAGGTCAGAAGAGGGTATCAGATTCCCCTGGAACTGGCAATACAAACAGTTGTTAGCTGTGATGTTGGTGCCGGGAATCGAACCCTGGTCCTCTGCAAGAGCAGCCAGTGCTCTTAACTGCTGAGCCATCTCTTCAGCCCCTAGTTTGAGTTTTTTGTTGGTTCATTTATTTAAGAAAAGGATTTAACTGGGCGTGGTGGTGCACACCTTTAATCCCAGCACTTGGGAGGCAGAGGCAGACTGATCTCTGTGAGTTCAAGGCCAGCCTGGTCTACATAGTGAGTTCCAGGACAGCTGGGGCCAGGGAGACCCTGTCTCAAAAAAAACAAAAAAAGGATTTAGACTAGGCTTGGCTACTTGTTGCCATGCGGATTAGTGATTGTGCTGCTTGGCCTTGGTGGGAAGAGCTGGACTCCTGGCTACTGCCAGGGAGGTGCTGTGACATCTACCTTGACTGCTACCACTACCCAGCACCCTGCTGCCCCTGTACCTGCCTCACTCAGCAGCAAGCTGCCAGATGGAACTTCCAAGAGATCACACTGCCTTCCCTGTTGACCTCATGGCCAGGAAGTCAGTATTTACTACAGGCTTGTCTGTCTGTGGTTTCGTCGTAAGTTTTACCACATTTTGTTACCAGGCTTTTCCTCTTACCAGCACTGCCGTGGGTCATGATGGATTATACCGACTTCCAGGCCCCAAACTACCCTTACACACCTTAGGTCTCCATGCTTGGGTGCCTCTGGCTTGGATTTGCTGGTGTTTGTTTAGGCTGCATGTCTTCCTCAGCCTGTTCTCTCTTCCCTGGCTTTGCCAGCTGGTGTGAGAGAGTGACTTTGACCTCCAGCCTTCCCTCTTGTCCAAGTCCTTCTAGCAGGGGAGCTTAGCCCAGGCATTGGCTCAGAGAAGAGGAGCTGGTTTTGATGAAGTCTTGAATGAATTGTTTACCCCATTCCATGCAGGTCTGAAAAACCACCGAAATGTCACCTTATAAATCCAAGGCTGCGTTGGACTGAGGACATGCATTGGGGTTACATGATAGACTGTTGCCACACTAGGCCTGCCTGGGGTAGTTAGGGTGGGCCTTTCAGATCTGCTCTGGGAAGCACTTTCCAAGTGGTGGGGGGGTGGCAGAGTTGCTGGGTGGGAAGCTTCTGGGTGCTTTCCCTTCCCTCCTTTGCCCCCCCACCACCTCATTTTGAAGGTTCTGAATAGAGGTCCTCGTACCACTGTGCTGACATGGGAGAGGAGGGCTTTGTCCTAGAGCTGTATATGGCCCACAGCCACATGCAGGCACATAGCAAATTTGAACACTTATATTAGCAATTTGAAGAAAATCAAATCCTAAGTCTGCACCCTGCCATGAACTTCCTCTTAAACTAGTGCCATGTGACCTAGCCACCCACCCTGTTCCCTGTTGCTCCCTGTGCCCGTTCCTATGGGCCACTTCCCTCTCTTGAAGTTCCAAGGAGGCTCTGCACAGGTGTGGATTGCCCAAGATAAAGGAAACTGTGGCTCCCCAGTATGAAATTGGAGCTCAGGGCCTGCCTCTGCCCACCAAGCCTGTGCCAGCCCCTGTGTCTGTGACCCAGGCCCTGCACTGCATCCCTTTGCACAGGAGGCATCCTCTGTGCTGTAGCTCCAGGCTCATAGTCAACCCCATAATTAAAATGTGCCTCTGTGATTAAGGAGAAAAAAATAACCGAGAGCTGGCTCACCCTCCAGGTCTCCAGGGGCTCAGTGCAGGTGACAGCAGAAAATGAACACTGTTGCTGTGTGGGAGCAAGGCCCCAGAGTACATGCAGCTTAGTTGGCTCCTTGGCATTGGTGGCCCCAGGGGGGGCTGGGCTTTGATTGGTATGTGTTCTCGTCTCTCACAGAAATTGAAGCCATAAAGCTGGCTGAGCAGAAGCTCAGGGAGGAACGAAGGCGAAGGGCCACGGTGGTGGTGGGAGACCTGCACCCTCTGAGGGATGCTCTGCCTGAGCTGCAGGAGCTGGAGACCGGCCGTCCTCGGAAAACCAGAGGGTGAGTGTCTAGTACTGTCCATTTCTTCCAGAGCTGTGGCCAGCAGCCGTGGATCCATAGGGGAAGGGAGCCATTGACAGGGCACTGATGAGGCTCCTGTCTACAAGCGAGCCAGCACTACATGTGGTGCGAAAAGCCTCTTGCCCTTCAAATGAGCCCTTGGGTGTGGGGGCTCTGTTGTAAAAGGAGGACCTGGACCACCCCTGGTGGGGCCTTGGCCAGCACGCCGACGGGAGCCTCTCACACCTTCTTCCCGTTGGCCTCAGCCACCATTCTGCACATGGTCAGGCCCCTGACCTTCCTGCTCCTCTTACAAATGGCTTTGACGTCACTCTCTCAGTGAACCTTCACTTGACACCTGCTGGTGTTCCTCTCTTCCCCAACCCCTACCCAAGGGTGAGCTGGGCACGAAGGTCCCTCTGTACCTGGGCATTCTGCGTAGGGACCTCAGTGAGTAGGCAGAGCCCACTGCCGCCCTAAACCTGTCTTCATTGTATAGTGAAAGAAAGCAAGGCATGGGTGGCCTGGCCCAGGAGGGCAGTGTAGAGCTGTGGCCTCTTTTGGGCACATAAGAGAGCTTTGGGGCTCTGTGCTCCCTCATGGTTGCTGGGCTTTCAATGTTTACTTGCCGTTATTTAGGGGGTGGGGGCTTGAGACAGTGGCTCACTGTCCAGGCTGGCCTAGAATTCGCTGTGATTCAGACTGACCTTGAACTTAAGGCAGTCCTCCTGTCTCAGCCTTCCAAGTGCTGGGATTATAGGCATGAACCACCATACCCAGCTCGTCATTTCTTATTTTGCCTTTTTACAAATAATCTACTGAGTTTCCAACTGAGGTTGAAGCAAGGGCTCTGCACTTAAGCTGTGAGTCCCCACCCTTTCCCAGGGTAAGTGGATGACATAGTGCAGAGCCAGATGGCCACAGGCTTCCCAAGATGGGTACACCCGTTCAGTTCAGACCAGACACACACTGACACTGGGTTGAGACACAACGGCTGAGCAGAGCCAGCAATGCAGATTCCATTCCTGGTTCTTAAGCAAAAATGTGACCTGGTCAAGGGTCCCTTCCTCTTTTCAGTTTCTCATCTGAAAAATGTGCTTGGGGCTCCCAGAAGGGAGAGAGCCGCATAAACAGCCTGCTCCGCCAGCCCAGAGAGGAATGTGGTGGGGCTGCACGCCTGGCTGTGCTGCTGTGGTTCCCATCTTGCCCCAGTACTGAGTGCTTCCCCAGTGTACCCCAGTGCTGTGGGTCTCACTCTGGGACAACCCTTTGGCTGCACTGTTTGTGTTAGTCAGGGCTCTCCAAACAAACAGAGCCAATAGAATGAATAGATATGTATAGAGATTTATCAGCTTAGCTCACAGGATAGAGTCCAAGTAGTCTAACAATGGCTGCACCACACTGGAGAGGCTGAGAATCCGTAGTCGCTCAGTCCACAAGGCTGGATGTCTCAGTAGTCCCAATCTGGCGCTGAAGGTCTGGCGAATTCCAAAAGATCAGCTAGTCTTCAGTCTACAGCAGCAAGACGAACTCACCAGCGAGAGAGAAGGCAAGCAGCAAGAAGCCTGGCATTCTCCTCTGCCGTGGCCTTTTATACGGGCTGCCATCAGAAGGTAACACCCACGTTTAGGGCGTGTCTTCCAACTTCAGATGATCCAATTAAGATGATCTCTCTCATTTCAGTTAATTCCAGATCCAGTCAAGTTGACACCCAGGATTAACCATCACACTGTTTCAAAACAGTTTTAGAAGCTAAGTGTGGTGGCGCATGCTGCTAAGCCCTAGCATTTGAGAGGTTGAAGCAAGACTACTACAGACTTGAGGCCAGCCAGGTCTAGATTGTGAGACGCTGCCTCAAAACAAGAAAAAAAAAAAAAAACAGTAGTTTTAGATTTACAGAAAAATGGCAGGGATAGTTCCCTGTTAACATCTTACGTTAGTGTCATAAGTTTGTCACAGTGAACCAGTATGACCCACATATAATAGCAAGTTTGCAGTAGTAATTAGGGGCTGGGAGGCAGCTCAGTTGGCAAAGTGCCTGCCATGCAAGCGTGAAGAGCTGAGTTTGGTTCCCCAGTACCCATGCAGAAAGCTTGGCGTAGCCCCTGTAGCCCTAGTCCTGCTGGGTAGAGATAGGCGATCTCTGGAGCTCATTGGCCAGCAACCTAGCCGAACTGATAAGCACCAAGTTCAGTGAGAGAAACCTGATCTTGAAAAATAAGGTAGAGGGCTGCAGAGATTGCTAAGTGGTGGTTAAGAAGGTGCCCTGGCTGCTCTTGTAGCGGACTCAGATTCAGTTCCCACTTTCTTCATGGAACTCCAGCTCTAGGAGATCAGACGCCCTTTTCTAACCTCCGTAGGCACTACATACATGAGTATGCTAGCACTCATGTAGGCAAAACACTCATACACTAAAATAAAAATAAATAAAATAGGTCATTTTTAAAGGTGGAGAATAATCAGAGAAGACTACCCAAGGTCAACTTCTGGCCTCAATATGTGCACATACACATACATACCTACACAAACATGTATACACACCAAACACAAAATAGTAATTAACTGGAATTCATACTTTAGATTCCTTCAGGTGCCCCCCCAGGTCCTCCTGCCCAGGATCCCATCCAGGAGGGAACCTGACATTTGGCCCTCACAACTCCTCAGACTCCTCCTGGCTATGAATTTCTTAGACTGAGTCAGGCATTTTTTCACTACCCTCAGCTGGAGTGCACTCCTTGTTTTCTTGGGGGTGGAGGGGGCTTAGGCTGCCAGGAGGAAGTCCATGCGGGCAAAGGTCTGTCTTCAAGACGTCGCCCCACCACACACTGCCAGCCCAACTCACCACCGTGCACGGCCTTGGCCCACCCAGTGGAGATGTGTTTCCCAGGGCTCTCGCTGGGCAGGGCCTCGTCCCCTTCCTCCCTGTGCCGTTGGGAAGGGAGTAGTCCTGCCGTACCATGCCCAGTGTGGGCAGCCGTGCTCCCTCCTTGAGGACACAGTCTCTGCAGAGGCTATGGGTTCTGGTGGAGAGGAGCTCTGGCTTCCCCATGTATTCAGCAATCCTTTATTTGTGTTCATGCAGACTCGTGAGTGTCTACTTTATGCTTTGGGCTGTCATCCCAGTGCTACTTTCCTGCTGAAATCGCTCCAGCAGTGGCCACCAGCAGCTCTTCCAGTTGCTTCAGGAGGCTGCTCTGATCTGCATGTCAATGTGGTGTTGTGTCCGGTGCTGCCTCACGTTCTGCCGCCAGCAGTGCCAGGGGACTCACCTTGGGCAGCTCCTGCCCAGTCCTAGCACCAGCTGTTTCTCCAAGGATTCTGGTTTCTTGTTCAGATAAATGTCAGACACCAGAATCTGGGACTGGGGTGCTGGCTAGTCCAATCTTGCTTCTAACAGAGCAGACATATCTATGAGTCAACCTGAGCACATGTACTTAGAGTTAGGGGAGCAGTTACTGTCCTGACTCTGACAGCTACAAGCATACACCCAGGACTACTTGCTCCACTTAAGTGATTCTAAATTAAGGACTCAATGGTCTCAGGTAACTGTTACACCGCGATCCTGGTTCGTATGTAGTAAAGGGCCACAGGTTAAAACTAGCCAAGGGAGGAGACATATGGCAGCGCATAGGGAGTTCCAGAGGTATAGCTCCCTGCTGCTCTGTCACCGTGGAATCGGGATGGGAGGCTTTCCCAGCACCAATTTGTGACCTATGTACTGAGGACTGCAGCTGGGGATACTTACCATGTCAGCAATTCTGCCTTTGGCCTCTTCTCTATACCTGCGCCCTTTCAGCTCCTTGGCCACCTCATACCTGACTGATCATCTGGGGAATCAGTCCCCAAGTATTTCTTTACTGTGTTTGGACCAGCGTTGTCCAGGGCAGTGCTCCCCACAGTGGGATGGAAGGTGCTGTGTCTAGATGGCTGCACAAAGGCTGACTTGAAGACTCAGCTGCCTGGTTTCTGCCCCTCACAGTCATGTATGTCGTCTCCGCCCCCAACCCCCCAATGTCTGGGGCCCAAAAGGACAAGGTTTTGGGCAGCCCTGTGGTCCACTTCATATGACCACAGTGTAGTCCACTCCAAATCCACAGTGTGGCCCAGCACTGTTTGCTGGCAGAGTAGCCTAAGGATCTTCATAGCACCCTCCTGAAGGGGATGCTTCCTTTGCACCTGTCCAAAAGGGCCCCACGTCGAAGCTGAGCTGGAAGGCCCACAGGAGGCCTGAGGTCAACAGTAGATAGAGCTGTTGCCAGCCCATTCCATTCACCATAAGAAATGAGTCTTCTATTCACAGCCCCTTTGCACCTGAGAAATATATATATTTTATTTTATTATTTGGGGGTGTGTGTGGTTTTTTTTTTTTTTTGTATTTTTGATGCAGGGTCTCCTTGTAACCCCAGCTGACCTGGGACTCACTATGTAGACCAGGCTGGCCCCAAACTCACAGAGATTGGCCTGCCTCTGCCTCTCAAGTGCTAGGATTCAAGGCATGTGCTACCAGGCCTGGCTAACTGCTGAGGAATTTTTACATGCCCCCATGTATAGAGATATATAATAGGTGTGCAAGTCAAACATTAACTGAGAATAAAACATAATTTATTTTAAAATAATTAAATCTTGGGCTGGAGAGATGGCTTGGTGGTTAAAAGCACTGGCTGCTCTTACAGAGGACCTGGCTTCAGTTCCCAGCACTCACATGGCAGTCAACAACCTTCCCTATCTCCAGTTCCTGGGGGTCCCAACACCAGACTTCTAGTCTCCATGGGCATTGCATGACATGAATGTGTTTACATACATGCAGGCAAAACACTCATACACATAAACTAATCAAAAATAAACTTGTGGGATGTACATAATTTTACCACTATTAAAGAAGAAAGCACATTTGAATATTAATGAGATGAATATGCTTTTTTTTTTTTTTACATAAAGAATTAGCTCTTGGGCTGAAGAAATGGCTCAGCAACTAGGACCTAGGTTCAGTTCCCAGCACCCACATTGGACTGCTCATAACCATCTATAATTCCAGCCCTGGAGGATCTGACACCTTCTGGCTTCCACAGGCATCTGCACACCCATGGCATATGCCTCCACACACATACAAATAAAAATAAAAGTAAATCTTTAAGAAAAGAATGAAAGGCTGGAGAGATGGCTCAGCAGTTAAGGGCACTGACTGCTCTTGCAGAGGTCCCAGGTTTGATTCACCTACATGGCGGCTAACAGTGGTCTGTAACTCCAGTTCTAGGAGATCTGATACCTTCTTCTGACCTCCATGGGTGTTCCACGACATGAGTGCAGGAAATACATTCATACATATAAAATAAGAAAAGATTTAAAAAGAGGAAAGAATGAAATTTGGGCTGAATGTTTAATATTGAGGATGCTTCTCTATGTCCTCAGTGTTTTGAGGGTTGATTGATGACTTCACATAGACAGCATATTAGGGCCATTTCAGAAATTGCTGGAAATTCTGTCCTAACCCAAGAAAAAATTCATTAAGTGATTTTTTTAAAAAACATTCACAGTTTCTTTATTTATCATTTTTATCATAGGATTTTAACAATTATTCTCATTCTTTTTCCTATTTTAAAGTGAATTTTTGAGAATTTCATACAATATATTTGATCCTCTCCTGTGTCTATACCCCTTCCTTATTAACCCTCCACCAAATTTCACAAGTATATATTAAGGCCCATTGAGTCAGGTTTGTGTCCCCAAATGGCCTCTGGTGTGGGTTCATTCACTAGAGCCTGGTTAACCTACCAGAGGTCTCACCCTTAAATGAGACTGAATCTCCCAGCTTCCATTGGTTGCCAGTAGTTCCATGGGTTCGGGGTTTTTACCCACTTTCCCATATTTATGCTGGGATTTTGTCTGGCTTGAGCTTACATGGGACCTGTGCATGCTGTCACCATGGCTGTGAGTTCATATTAGTAAATGACCAGCTGTCTGTAAAACTGTTTCCTTATGGACATCCACCTCTTCTGGCTCTTACAATCTTTCTGCCCTGTGTTCTGCAATGATCCCTGGGCCTTGGGAGGCAGAAGTTTGGTACAGACGTCCTGTTCAGGGATAAGCAGCCTGCAGCCTCTTTTTTCTCTGCACATAATTTATGTGTATGACAAGATTAGAAATCAGTTTAATGCTATTTCTGTTTAGCTGAATAGTTGTATTAGATTCTCTCCTGTGGCTTGTGGGCTGTCTAGCCTCAGGCTCCTAGGCCTGATATCAATGTCAGATATGGGCTCCAACCTATGAAGTGGACCTTAACTCCAATTAGAAAGTAGTTGGTTACTCCTAAAATATTTGTGCCACTATTATACCACTGGTAGGCATATGTGCCAGATCAGTTGTAGCTCACAGCATTCACAGCTAAGTAAGGGTTTAATGTGAGTTTTCTCTTCAGGTGCCTTGTGTAGCACCTTCCAGCACTATGAAAGCTAGACAGTAGAGATGAGACTTTCAAGTCAGACCAGCTTGACTTCTCCTTGTTTGTTCTACAGCTCATATATGCAGTGTCTTACACAATAGAGTCTTACATGAAGTTCTGGTGGGTGCCCAAGAGCAGGGCAATGGCTAGCAGTGTTTGAGGGTTTATGGGACCCCTAGTCAACAGCTTCATAAGAGGAAGTCCATTCCTGGCATCGAGCATTGACTTTACTAGCCTGTCGTGTCTTATAACAGTGTCCCCCTGTTATATAGTAACTTTTAAAAATCTTTTTATAATGTATATCATTTGTGTGTACACTGTAAGTAGCTTATTAAATGGTTTTTAGAGTATTTTTAGTTTTATGTGTGTGAATATATATATCTATATATATATATATATATATTGCTCGCGTATCCACTTGTAAGTGCACCCATGTCATGCAGTGCCCGGGGAGCATGGAAGACTGTGTCAGATCCCCTAGAACTGGAGTTAGAATGGTTGTTGACTGCCATGTGGGTGCTGGGAACCAAACCGGGATCCAGCCAGTGCTCTTAACTGCTGAACCATCTTTCTAGCCCCTTAAATGATTCTTTAAATGAAACTCAAGTTAACAACTCAAACAGCAATTTTAAAATCAAGGATTCTGACAGTACAATCTGAACAAATATTAATTTGATACTTACACAAAGAATGACAGTAAGAAAATATTAAAAGTCTTTGTTTACCACAGTTAAACCATTATATTAAATTTTGTAGAGGGCGGGCAGTACCACTTATCCATGTAACAGCCTCACATTCAAGCCAAGTCAGCAATGTTGGTTAGTGTTGCCCGTGAGCGTGTGTGTGTGTGTGTGTGTGTGTGTGTGTGTGTGTGTGTGTGTGTGGTACCGAGGCTCCAGTGAAGTCACATGATACAGCTGAGGAGGGGGGAGCACTAGCAAAACACCCTAGACTTTTTTTTTTTTTGAGACAGGGTCTCCCTGTAGCCCCAGCTGTCCTGGAACTCACTATGTAGATCAGGTTGGCCTTGAGCTCACAGAGATCCACCTGCCTCTGCCTCCCAAGTGCTGGGATTAAAGGTGTGCACCACCAGGCCCAGCCTAGCACCCTGACTCTATCCATTTGATTTTGAATCAAATTTTGGTTGTTACTCTTCAGAAATCTTTTATCATTGCTAACTTTTTTGTAACCTTTATATTCAGTTATGAGACACCACGTGTGGCTGTGCATTAGGAAGCTGATCATCAGTGGGTGAAAGGGCCTCACAGGGTTGGGCTCTGTTCTCCCTTCCAGTGGCTGAGTTCAGGAATGCCTGTGCAACACAATGCCAGGTCAGCAGGCTTGGGGCCGTTCCGGCTCATTCATGGGGTCCTATGAAACCTGGGACTGCTTCTACCGTACTCACAGCAGCCTGGGCTGCATTTGGGTTGCCTTTTCCCCATTGCACAGCCAGTGGGCTAAGGAGCAGCTAGTTAGTGGGTTCACCAGAAGTGATGCCCCTCTGCCAACTGGCCTGGAGCAGTTGGCCACCTTTGTTTAGGTGCCTTTGCCCTTTTGGGGGGGAATTCTTGTACCCTGGTGGCTTCTAGGGACTCGGAAGGGATAAGAAAGCAGGCCAGGAGAAACAGGGACACCATCCTAGCAGACAAGGGTAGAGAGGTCTTTTCCCAGAGGGGCCAGGGGCCAGGGAGTGGGAATGCATGAGCTCTGGCATTGTGAGAAGACAAATGTCTATGTGTATGCGTGTAGTGCCTGCATGTAGGTAAGTGCACCAGTGCCGTGCAATGTCCTCGGAAGACAGAAGAGGCTGTCAGATCCCCTGGAACTGGAGTTATGGACGGTTGTTAGCTGCCATGTGGGTGCTGGGATTTGAACCCAGGTCTTCCTCAAGAACACCAGTGTTCTTAACCGCTGAGCCATCTCTCCAGCCCCCGTCTTTCATATTTTAAAGGAAACATGAATAAGAGATCAGGCCTCCTGCTTGGGGGGGTCTAACTTTAGGTCCTGGCCCCAGAACCTGGTGCTTCTGTTCTTCCTTTGGCCTGCCTCGTGTTGCGGGCTTCACGCCTCAGCATGGCGTCTTTGAAGTCATCTTGTCAGTGGTGTTTGCCCTGTTGGACTCTTCCTCTCTGCCCAGATACCCTGCTGGTGGGTAGCACTGCTTCTCCTGCATGTCCAAAGATCGAGTTGGATCCTCTGAGGGGTTTTCGGAGTGCTTCTGCACAGCCCAGAACTGTCAGAGTTGTCTAGAGACATGTATTACCTGGCTCTAAGTCTCAGGCTCTTGAGCTGACCCCCAAATCAGGCCTAGTGTGGTAGCTTGGAGGGCCCCAGGAGCCACCACATGATGCCCTAGCCTGGTGGGTGGCAGGCAGCTCCTCTTGCCCTAGAAGATCCCTTGGTACACTCTGGCATCTGTGGGGCATCTGTGGGGTTTGCGCCTAGCTCCCAAGGTCACATCGGAATGGCAGGTGCTGTGTCCTTCCCTCAGCGTGGCCTTTCTCTTAGAAGTGAGAGGACAGATGGCAAGTGCCTTGTGTCTTGGCAGGGAGTGCTGTCTTCTTTTAGAGCAGGACTCTGTCCTGGCAGCGGCACAGGGTCCAGGGCAAGCTGCCACATGGATGGCTCGTTCTCCATTCAGGTTGGGCAGGTGACATACTCAGGTGCAAACACAGTGTGTCTTCCTGGGGTGAGACGAGTCTCTGGATTCAGTGGTTGTTAGTTCTAGACTTGGTGACTAGGTTGACCCAGCTCATCTAGGCCCACAGCCAATGTGCTCCTGATGGTGTAGCCAGCTGGGGCAGGGGGGTCACAGAGGCAGATTTTGGGGTGAAGTAAAGTATCAGACTGACTTGGCTTCTTTGTGTCCACAGCAGGGTGACCAACAAGCCTAGGCCAGTAGAGCTCAGCCAGATGAGTACAGCCCAGAGGCAGCAGCTCCTGTGAGTACATCCCTGCCCATCAGGGCCTCCTTCTAACTGCTTCCACCCCTGTGGGAGTCTCCTGCCTCCTCCCCTCTGCTGGTTTGACCTCTGACTCCAGGTGGGGCACATTCTTGGGATCAAGATCTTTTCTTTTTTTTAAAATTTATTTTGTGTGCACCAGTGTTTTGCCTGCATGTATCTGAGTGCACCTGTGTCGTGCAGTGCCACAGAAGTCGGAAGAGGGCTTCGGATTCCCCTGGAACTGGAGTTAAGGACCGTTCATACCCACCATGTGGGTGCCAGGAATCGAACCTGGGTCCTCTGCAAGAACAGTCAGTGCTCTTAATTGCTGAGCCAATTCTCCAGCCTAAGGTCTTTTCTTTTTTTAAGAAGTACTGTCCTGCAGTTAAGCCTTGAGTGCCCATCTGGAGTGCCCCAGGGAGTAGTGACAGCCCACAGTGTGTGGACACAACCAGAGCAATGGAGGCCTCTGCCTGTGCTTCCTCAGGCCGAGATGGCTCCGGGACGTCTGTTTACTGTGGTTGTGGTGCTTCCCCCCCCCCCCCCCCGCCCATTTCATCAGCAGTGCAGTGTTGTCCTGTTGGCTGACACTGTACTCATGTTGGCTTGGACAAGAGATTGTTGGCCCTGATTTTTACCCTCTGTAGACTTGGCTCAAGCAGTGTGCTGACTTTTGGGGAGTCTAAGACAGCCCGAATTCCATATCTATGCAGGATATGTTTCAATTGTGAAATGTTTTTCTCTGTCTTTAGAGAAACTCTGCTAAGGTACTTTTTAGTGTGGAAATTTCTGCGTCAGTTTTTACTGTGCCCTTGTACTGTGTAGGTTAAGGTCTTTTTTTTTTTTTTTTGGTCTCTTTGAGGCTGTCTCCCTGTAGCCCCAGCTGTCCTGGAACTCACTATGTAGACCAGGCTGGCCTTAAACTCCCAGAGATCTGCCTGCCTCTGCCTCCCGAGTGCTGGGATTAAAGGCGTGAGCCACCATGCCTGGCTGGTTAAGGTCTTTTTTTATGATTACTATTGCTTTTGGAAATTTGTATTAACTTTCTTAGCCTCAAATTTTTCCCAGTACTGGGCTTTGTACCTAGGGCCTCATGTGCTAGGTTCTCCCACTGAGATAAGTCCCCAGTCTCTCCCGTTTTTCTTTTTTGTTTTGTTTTGTTTTTGCTTTTACTTCTTATTTTGAGATAGGATCTTACTAAGTTGCTCAGGGAGGACTTGAGCTCTTATCTGTAACCAAGGAAGACCTTGAAGTTGCTGTCCTCCTGCATCAGCCTCAGCTGTCCTCATGACTCCCAGTTCTCAGCTTCAGAGCATCGCCAGGCCCTCCCCACCCGTCCCGCACTTCCCTGCCTCCTTCCAGGCTCACGTGTGCTTCTTGCTTCTCCTCTTCTCTGTGAATGTACTTCTTCCTCAGCCGTTTTGTCTAAAGGCAACTAGTGTAGACAGTTCCTGCTGAGGCGACGCCCACCTGACCTGTCCCTCTGTTCTGCAGATGGGACCAGCGGTGGCTCTGCCTGTCAGGACATGCCTGTCTCCACAGCCGCTTCTGTGGCTGTACCTCTGTATACCCCCTTCCCTGCTGACTGTCACTCATGTGGAAGCAACACAGGTTGTGTGCCTAGGAGTTTGGTGTCTCCTTGTTCATTTCTGAGCAGTGGGGAAAGCAGCTTATTTACTCCCCAGTTTTAGAGGCAGAATTCTAAGCTCCTGTTCATGCCTCAGCTGTCTCACCAGTTCACACAGGGCTGCTCAGGCAGCTCGGCAAGGTGGCTCTTCAGTGCCCCACACTCACTGCCAGGTGTCAGGCACAAGGCTGTCCTAGGGTTGACAGATGGCTCAGCCTGTGCCTCTTGTCAGTGTGCCTCCTGGGGCCCAGCACAGTGCACAGCCTCAGGAACGAGGAGTCCGTCTTGTGGCATGCAGCTTCTCCCCCCACATGTGCTAGCTCCTCTGGTAGCATGGGCTTCCTTTTAAGCATCACTCTGGGCTCACCAAGGCTCACTAACTGTCCTGCTGGGCCCAGGGCATCAGGGTTGTTGTGACAGTTGGTGACATAGGGCCCTGGCAGCCTGTGTGGAGTGCTCTTCCAGCAGGAGTTGACATCCTGTTAACAGACATCAGTGTAGTGTGTTCTTGCCTGTGGTCACCTGGGACACAAGGTAGAGTGGGTTTCAACCCTCCGTCCACCCACTCAGGACCAGGGTTGCCCTGGTGGGTTCCACACAGCCTGTCCTGGAGCTACTAGCTATGGATTCCCATACACTTGGGACACTTGCCACCTCCTAGGCACCCAGCTAGAGTCCAGATAGCAGCCAGGGGTCTCATGTATTCAAGTCCTGAGAAGCCAAGTCCCCTGAGCCACCTCTGTCCATCGCCGGTGTGCCTGTTCCTGCTGCTTGCAGCTCTCCCGTGCACATCTATTTTGGGCTTGCTGAGGAGAAAGGTGCCTCCTACATAAGGCTGTAGGCGCGTGATCCGCCACTGCCCCCCCTTTGTCAGCTTCTGCCTTAGTAGCACACTGCCTCCCAAGTCTCACGTAGACCTCTAGCAGAGTGACCTCCACCACAGAGGGTGTGTGCTCAGAGGCCTGTGTGCCCCTTACCTCCTGCTGGAAGTCTGAGGCCCTAGCACTGTGTCTTATGGCCACCCCAGGCTTTAGTTGTCTGCTCCAGTGTCAGGTGCCTGGGCCTGTTATGAGTGTCCTGGGGATTCTGGTTCCCCCTGCTGACTTTTGCCCTCCATTCTTTCAGTGAGGAAGAAAGGACTCGGTTTCAGGAGCTGCTGGCCAACCCAGCCTACAGAGCCAGCCCCCTGCTGGCCATCGGGCAACAGCTGGCCCACCAGATGCAACTGGAAGGTGGTGACCAGCTCTGACCAGGACATTGTGTGCCATGAGCTCTGGGGGACTAAGCACCAGGGGACGCACCTGTGGGGAGAGGTGCCAGCAGCCTTGAACCCTGTCTTGAGTCTTGTGGCCCCCTCCCCAGTCTTGAGGCTTTCGGGATGGGGGAAGAGGACAGCCACTGAAGAGGCTTTATAGATGTGGCATCTGTGGCCTGGAACCGTTCTGAGGCTTCACACCCCATTTAGAGCCACTCCTGTGTTTCTAAGGCTGAGTTAGCCCTGGGACAGCTGTTCTTGTTCCCTTCAGGACAAGCTTGTGTCTCCCAAGTGGGGGCCCTGGCTGGGCAGAGCTGGCGTGGTTTTCTGTTATGGGATCTGTAGGAGCTGCGCTAGCATGAAACGGGGGCGGGGCGGGGGCTTTCTAGGAGCTCCACCCCTGAGACGTCATTGTCACTTCTCAGCTCTGCTTGGGATCCTACATAGCCAAGTTCTTCCTCAGGCCACCACAATCACTGCTGCTTCAGCAACCCTACATGGACTGACCATAACTGGGGGCCCACTGTGCTACCCAGGTCACCAAGGGTGCAGAACAGCTTAAGACACCCCTTTTAAAGCAGGATGGTAAGCCCCTCAGCCATCTGCCTGCCACCGTGCCGCACCGTCTCGTGGCTGTGGCCTGCTTTCGGCCCAGAATGCTCATTGCCTTACCCTCATTCCTGTGACCGTGGGAACTGATGGTCCTGCCATCAGGCTGAGCAGCAAGGTGGATTCATCTTAGGTATTAGCTGGATTAATAGACCATGTTCTCAGAAAGTGAAAGATGAGGGCAGTGGGCCCTGCGTGGGTGCTGGTGGCAGTGGAGCCTGGGCTCTTTGCCTGGGAAGAGTAGATGATCCTCAGACATGGTGTGGACACCATTGGGTGCTTGGTGAATGGAGTAGATCAGAATGGACAGGGACCTGGACACAGACCCTGCGTTCCCTTTGTCAGAGGCCATCTTGGCTTCAGTTGAGACACCAAGGCTGCCTTGCTAAGAAGAAATATGTTCTCATCAAGAGAAGCTTTTTCCTAAGCAGTGTGTGCACAAAAACCTACCTGTGCAATGAGGGTTGGCATGCAAGCTTGTCAGTGCAGGTGTGGCCAGCATGCCTAGGGATGCTGATGGGGATTCCTGTCTTCACATCTTCACACTCTTCTCTGTACCGAAGTTTTCAAGATGTAGCTTCAGGTGACACCATTCTGCCTGGCTGGTATGGCCTGTGGCCAGCTTGCCATGATGTTCCTGCTGAAGAACCTGGGGCCTCCCTTCAAGGTCCTGCTTGAGAGAGGAGCTCACAGGCCAGCCTCCTGCCTGTGACAGCAGGACTTAAGCCCAGGGGCACAGGGCGGTTGTATCAGGCAAGAGCCAGCCCAGGAGAGGACACTTAGGCAGACCGAGCAGGAGAGGAGCCAAGCAGGCGTCAACTGGGACTGTCTGGGAATCCTGCAAGAAAGTGACACGAGAGGGCTTGGTACTCAGCAGCCAGCAGCTACTGGCCATGGTGCGTGCTGAGCACCTTGTGGACACCACGTGGAAGCAGGAGGCCACGGGCAGGACTTGTCCGCCCCATTTCACTCCAAACCATCCACTCTCCATGTGGACACACCTGGAGGCAGATCCCAAGACAGCAGCTTTGTGATTGACAGGAGGGCTTTTTCTGTTTCGTCTACTTTCTAATCTGAGAGTGAGCATGAGTTATGTGGCAATAAATTTCTATGAAAAGACTACAGTTCACTGGCTTTCACGCATCGTAGACCCTGGGCCTCCACTTTCTGCTTTGAAGGGTAATCAGATAAGAGGCCCCTGAGGCACAGCAGTGCCTGGACACAGCACGGTCCCCCACAGGAAGGGTCAGGGTAGGCAGATGGTGGGAACAGCATGGAGGATGCCCTGGGCACATCTCCAGGAGAGTCTGCAGAGCACAGAAGGAGGTGTGGCTTGGATCCTGACTCCCTGGAGATGACATGTTAAAGCCTGTGGCTCTGTTGGGGCTGGTGGTAGGAAGAAAGGCCTTTGGGACTGTGCCCTTGAGAGGGACACGGGGATCCTCTTCGCTTTCCAGTCACAAGCTGAGCAACCCTACTGGCCAAACCGCCAGGGATTGGGACCTGCAGGTGAAGTCAAGACCTCTCCTCCTAAGCCGGTTCTCTCAGGTCCTCTCAGCAAGGCAAATGCCCAGCACAGGGAGCCGTTGGTGGCCCAGAGTAAAGGGCTTCCGGATGAGTAGGGCCTTCCTTCCCCAGGCCCAGACCTTCTCCAATCCTTACTGTGCTGTGTGGTAGTTGAGATGTGGTGATGGGTACGCTGAGGGTCCTCCCCTCACTCTCTTGCTATGTATCCACTCTGGTGTTCCTGACAGCCAGTCTGCTCTTGCAGGACCACTTCTAAGCCTCGCCTGGCCTTAGGCAGTTTAGTGGGCCTTGCTTGCTGGGTACTTGGGTTCCTGGGGTTGCTGGGATGAATTACATGGGGGCCTCCATTTGGATGGGGCATATTCTGATAAATTGGCTGTATACTGAAAATACCGTTAAAGTAAGAATGCAAGCATCACCCCTAGGCTGCTGAGCACCCCAGCTTGGCCTCTACTGCCTCAACACACTTCAGCCCTTGAGTGGTTAGGAAATGTCAAATGTCTCATGGACTCAGTACTGTACTGAGAGTCCAGAGCCTTGTCGGGGTGACCACACGATCAGGAGATGGGAACTTGTATAAACAGAGTGTAAAAACAGTTGTGGAGGTGCAATGCTCACAGCCCTGACCTCTCTGTCCCTGCTCTGGGTGTGTGTGTGTGTGTGTGGTCTCTACCAGTCACACTGGATTTAGGGCACTGTGCTCCATGTGACCACTTTTTGTTGAGACAAGGTCTCACTGTGACCCAGGCTAGCCCCAGACAATCCTATCTCAACTTCTGCCTCCTGAGTGCTAGGATCACAGATGTGCCCTGCCATGCTTGGGGCTATGTACTCAGCTATATCTTCAATGACTCCAAAAGTGGAATTTCCCACCTGGGTTTTCAGAAGTTCCCCTCACTCTGAAGTGGGTTGGGAGGAGAGGTGACAGGGATGCTGGAGAGCTAGGCCCCAAGGTCTGGGGAGAGACACTGGCAGCTTGAGAATGTAGCTCTGGGCAGGTCCTCCACCCATGGGCTCATCACCACCCACTTTACCTTCACACCTGTGTGCAGTGTGCCCTGTGCTCTACACGGATTGGAAGCCAGGGGCAGAGAGCTTTTCCTGTGCCCTATTTTTTTTTTAACTTAAAAAAAAAAACTTTATTGAGAATTACATACGTGCACATATGATGTTTTGGTCAGATCCATGCCCCCTCTGTCCTCTCCAACACCTCCCATATTTCCCCATCACTCTTTCTGACACCTTCATGTACTCTTCCCTCCCTCCCTCCCTCCCTCCCTCCTTTCTTTTAAATGGGGCTTTTTGCTACTCTAACATTACCCCTTTGTGCCCTATTTTTGTCTGAATGCATGATGAAATGAACAGGTGGAGGGTACCTCCCCTTTCAGGCTGCCCACAGCTTTCCCTGCTCAGGAGCCCCTCCTTTCCTGCTGCCTGTGCTGAGAGCACCCTGGATGATCCTTGGGTGGCCAAGGATTGCCCATCAAAAGGGGCTAGGCATGGAACTGGGAAGAATTGCTGCAGGCTGCAGGTAGCACTCTGCACCTGGAGTTGCTTGGGTTACCTACTGGGACGTGCTCTGGAGCAGCTACCCAAACCTGCCCTGGGCTGAAGCTGCAGTCTCAGCAGAGGGCTTCCAGAAGGGCCAGCAGGCCAATCACGGCAATCCAGTGCATTTGGTATGTTGAGTGAAGGGTGAGACTCCAGGGGACTTGGCTAGAGCAGAGGGTCCTGGGCTATGTGAGATGCGGGTGCATACGCTGCTCCCAGACTCTGCGGCAGCCCAGGCCAACACTCCACAGGCTTCTGTGCTGCTCCAGAGCCAAGTGTTGAATAAACACCAAGCGTGTTGCTTCTGGAATGTTCCCGTTGAGCAGTGATAACATCACCCCAAGACTCCAGGAGGTGCTGGCTGCTGCCCAGAACTTTTCTGCATGTGGCTCCTGGATGTGGCCTAGCGACGGTGAGCAGGGAAGGCCCCAGCCTCCTGGTTCTCAGCAGCCCCCATGGCCTCTTTCCAGGGACCACTATCAGCAGTATGTGCTTCCAGGATGTCTCGGAGCCGGCTGGCTGGCTGGTGTGATAGCGGGCAGGCCCTCACATAGTCTTTGAAGCTGTTCTCCAGTGCCTGGCCTGGGCCTGGCCCCAAGACCTCCTACCTTATTTTAAGTAGATTCCAATTCAAATGTGTTTTTCTTCTAAATACATTAAAATAATGTGGGTTAAAACAACAATTACAGGACCATCCTGATGCTGGGTTGAGTCTGCCTTGAGATGAACTCCAGAGCATGGAATGAAAGAGAATTTTCATAGGGTATTATTCAGAAAAAAAAAGACAATTGTATATCTGAATCCAAATACTTCATCCCAGTGCCACAGGCCCAGAGTCCAGGGAGTCCCCAATCGGGCCCCCTGGGTATGAGTGGCCTTGTCCTTCATGCCCCTGTAGTCCTGAAGAAGGCCAGCAGCAGAGACAGGTCTGAGAGGAACCCGAGAACTGGGCCTCCAGAGCACAAACTTCCTCTTTAGCTAGGTGCTGCCCTCACCCTCTGCTCCCTGACCTGCCCACTGGACCTCCTGCTCAAGCAGCAAAGCACCTGATGTGACAGGAGCAGCACCAGCTCCCAGGCAGGCGGGGTGGCCTGCCCTCTACCATTTGCCTGAATGCAGGCTCGGGGAATTGTCAGCTTCACATACAGACACAAGTACAGATAAGCGGAGTTATACCACACACCCAGGAACACACCACTCAAACACCACACACACAGTACACACAGGTGGGTACACACAGATACCACACTCTGGGTACACATACACAGACATACCACACACAGGGCACACACAGGCAGGTAGATGCAGGCACCACACAGTGGATACCCATGTACTGGCATACCCAGGGTACACACAGGCAAACAGGCACCACACTCTGGGTACACATGCACAGGCACACTCATACCACACAGGGTACACACAGGCAGGTACACAGGCACCACACCAGGTATATACAGGTACACACAAGGCATCACGTGGTATACAGACACAGCACCAACAGGCTGTGGTACACACCCCAGTGTGAGCGTCTGAGGCAGTCCTAGTGACCTTGTCCTTGAGCAGGCAGGAGACCACTGCCGTTTCCTTCTTTTTTAAAAACATATTTTTTATTTATTATTTTTATTTTATATGTATGAATGTTATGCCTGCATGTAGGTAAGTGTACCCATGTCATGCAATGCCCGAGGAGGACAGAAGAGGCTGTCGGATCCCCTGGAACTGGAGTTAAGGACAGTTGTTAGCTGCCATGTGGGTGCTGGGATTCGAACCTGGGTCTTCTGTAAGAACAGTGTTCTTAACTGCTGAGCCATCTTTCTAGCCCCCGTTTCCTTCTTTTGAAGACAGTGACAGAAGAAAGCCAAATAGGCGTGCGGGTATGAGTGAGAGTTGGTAACGAACCTGGAGCCCCAGGTCCCTCCTTTGTCTTAGTATCTGCCGACAGGCGGCTGCCAGAAAGCAGTGCAGATCCTATCCCCAGCCGCTGCAGCCTGTCTAAACTCCCGTGGGGGCCTCCAATTTCCCCCTTGGCATTTCAAAGCAGTGCTCAGCCCTGTGGCCTTGGGTTATTTGAATAACTCAGGTGCACTTACTGAACATGTGCCACACCCTGCTCATGTGGGAGGAGATGTTGCTCCCAGGGACCCTGAGGCCCTTGTCTTCCCCATGGAGTGGACACCATGTGTGCCAGCAGGGTGACTCAGAGGGGGCTTCTGTGAAAGCAGGAACCTGCAGGGCAGGTTCCTGGGTGACCCTCCTGGCTGGCAGAGCCCCTCCCACACCTGAGTATTGGAAGGGGCAGCCCCCATCTTCCCATTGGGCTGACTGTGCACAAGCCCTGTGGCTTGATCTGACTCAAGTCCCTCTCACCTGCTCTTGTAACTTCTGCCCATCTCCAGGGCCTGCTCCCCTCCTCCCGCCCAGGACCACTTCCAGCTCTTGCCCATTCATTCCACCGTTCATCTGACTTCATCAGTGACCAGCCCCTCCCCATGTTTGCTGGGTGTGGACATGCCCTTCATGAAGTCCAGGCTCTGGGAAAGGAAGGAGAGCACAGGGCAGTCTGGAAGATACTGAGGAGAGCTGAGGGGGAGCTGAGCAGCTGGGCCAAGGCCCTTTCAGAAGGAGGGATGCTTGACCAGAATCTGGGCCCCTGCACTCTTCCTTCTAGGAGGGTCAGGGACAGGCTCTAGAACGCCTGCCATGACATGAAAACTACAAAGCAGGCTGAGATGTAGTCCATCCAGGGGTCCTGGGAAAGCAGGGGACTCCATTGGTTACCCATCAGTCTCTGCTACAAGCTGCTTGAGACAGATGAGTCTGGTGCTCAAATGCAATGGGGCCTCCTGTCAATGGAAACCTGGGAGGCAGCCCACTACCTCCTGCAGCCTGGATGCCAGTCCTGTGCCCGTTGTGGTAAAGCAGCTGCCTAAACTCCAGCCCTCATACATCCCAGGCAGAAAGGAACTGGGCAGAAGAAATGGTGCCATTCCCTTATAATGACTTTACCCAGGGACCACCAGCAATGTCTACCCACACCTCACT